TCAGCCCGGTTCAGGTTCAGATAAATGAAACCTGCATGTGGGATATAAACACCACACCAGATCTCCCACAACATGGTTTCAGTAAGCATTTGAAAAAGTGCGTAATGGTTTTTCACCACACGGAAAAACCTGCGCTTGTGTGATTTAAGTTTTCTGGAAGGTATAAACGTCAAACAAAGAAATAGCAGGTGTTTTATTCTATCACTCTTGTAATAATGTAGAAAAATAGCTTAAATATGAAAACGATTAGCTTTGCCTCCCAGTATGTCATAAATGTATCTATTTAAATATATAACCTGATGTTTATAAACTGAATATCTAATTTGCCCCCTTATGCAAGTGCAACCATTACGTCCTTGCAGATCGTGGTTAAAATGTATGTAACTAATGGAAATGTGCTCCCCGGCTTCTGCATACAAAGCAAGCCAAATCCAACTAACCTTAAGTGGGTTTTGTTGGGCTTTTTAGCAACTACAGTTCATAAAATGTATGCATCCTTATGTAAGAATTGATTTCAGTGCATCGTTCTCGAGCTGCTGTCTGTCAGAGGTGCTCCAGCTTGAACTACTCCACATCTGACATCACAGTCCATCTATTTTTCATGGCCAACATCTGCTTGGCTTGCTACATTGTCACTACGATTTGCATCAGCTCCCCCGATTCCATGTATAAAACCAACACATGGAAGGTGACTAGAGTAGTGCGCACAAAAGGCTTCAGTAAGTGTGCTTTAGGGATGTCTTTACAGGATGCGATGTATTTCATCTGCACAAACACAAAGAAGCATATTAAAGGTGAGAGGTTTACTGCGAAAACCTGAAAAATTCTGTGGCCGCATGGGAAAATAAAAACGGCACCACAGGCAGCCAGAACGGGGCCAACGACTATTTAAAGTAAAAGTAAAATATTTAATCTGTCCCCACAAAATAAGACTTCCGAGCTCTTGGCTAGTGTAATAATTGGCACGAAATGAGGATGCAAAAAAATGGCTGCCTATAAAAGTATAACCCCACTGCAAACCCTACTCCCCTCCCTAATGCAATCAATTCTTGTTCCAGCATGAAAAGCTATTTTCTCCTTCTCCATGTCATTATGAAAACAAATGCATTCAGTTCTCCGCCAGAAATGCAGCTGATGCAGAAAAATGATCCAGAACAATGCCTTACTGACAAGGATCAGTCAATTCCATTTCTTTCTGTGTGCATATGGCCGTGTGTAGATATTCGAGAGTGCTGATTCAGTGCAGTGCAAGGTCCGCATGGGTCTTTTCAAGCTATCCATAAAGGACCGTGTATCATTTTTTCTTATGTCTAAGAGGCAGAGCTTTCAGACGGTGAATAGATTTTCAATAAAAAGAAGAAACACACAGTGGAAACATTTATAGTGCAGAGTCTGAAAGCCATTGTGGATTTGATGTAAGCATTTCTATACATTTCTATTGCACAGAATTAACTGTAACAAGAACAACACGTTATATCTTTAACAGCACTGGAGCTATGTCCGTGTAAGCTAGACTTAAATAAAAGATTAACCTGCATATCCCCTGTGTGTTACGAGAGCACCAGGTAGTTGTGCAAGCAGGCAAGCAGGTAGGCGTGCGGGGAGCAACAAAGACACCCAGAGGTGGCTTTTCTACCAGCTGAAGTCAGCCGGGGTGACAGACGGAGCTGAAGTGTCTACGCCTGCCTGAGCCTCACACCGTCCTGCCGTCATTGGAGCTGACAGGAGCGAGTCCACAGGAAGCTGAGGTGACGCCGAGGACCTGTCTGTCTCATACCTCTGAGAGGTCCGAGTGCTCACACCTTGTCAGCGAGCACTCACAGGTTAGCTGAAATGCAAACACTGGTGGTGGGAAGCAGATGACACAAATGCTGATTAATCAAGTAAAAAGGAAACCAAAGAAAGACTTGTGGAAATCCTTAGTATCGGGTGAGACTCGAGAAAAAATCTAAAGCGCTGTGATTTTAAAAATTCTTTATTAATTCATGGATAAGTCAGTCCTCATCAGCCTATAAGCATTATAGCCTGATCAAGACACACTTATCCATGAATTATGGTATAAGGTCTTAATACCTTATAGCCAGATGGAGACTGGTTTATCTATTAATTAATACAAGGATTTTTTTTACATTTAATTTCTTTGGACTGGCAACAACAATACTGGCGGTTTTCATTAATAATAATAATAATCAGGAAGTCTTTTGATTTTGTTTACTCTCTACTTGACCACTGAGCCTACCCTTTAAGAGCTTCTGACTGTTTAACATTTTCTTCCTTTTCTACCAGGACTATAGCAATCTGCCTTTTTCTGAGAAATGTTTGCTTAAAGTGAATTTGAAATAGCTGATACAAATGTACCAGGGAATCTAACCACTCCTTCTTGTGTTATGAACACCAAATACACTGGAGGAATATTTCAATCTTGTAAGGATTAAATTTTTAAACTGTTATCCAAGTGCACTTCTGAATAGTTCTGTGAATTTATTTAAATTCTTACACTTTGTTCTAGACTCGTGTTCCACATACTGAATATTAGAATATGAAGGCAGCGATGCCTCGTAAGAGCCAAACTCTCATCAAGATAGACCGCTCTCACGTTTCAGTCAGAAGTTTATCTTTTTTTTTTTCCTTAAAAGTATATGGAGACATTTATGACAGCTGAGAAAGGAGGGGTGCAGGGTACAGGTGTATGTAAACCTAAAAAAAGTGGTCTCTTAACTCTCCCACCCTCCCTCTTGAAAACCTGGCGTAGTCTGTTAATGATTTGGATGACTGTGAGAGAGCATGAAGCCTCTTGGCATTCCCTGCTGGAAGGGATCTGTACTTTGTTAGCCTAAAAGTTTGCACAAGAAAATTGCACCCATGGGAGAGCAAAACAGGCATCCACCATGGGGGGGATATGGAGGGGAGGGCAGGATTTATTTATAGCTTTTTTTTGCGTTGATGCTAAGTCATCAGACAGATATTGTACTGCAGAGAAGAGAAGCAGAGCAAATGGTTTAGAAGTGAGCAAACAAACATTTCTACCTCTCTCACAGTCCTGCATTTAGGGCCCGAGTAGGTTTACGGCAATTTGGTTCGTTTTTAAACTCTCTGCAAATATCTGTTGTTAGCTCGGTTCCTCGCTGCTGCTCGGAAAATCACACTTAAGGGAAAAATCAGGTGGAGAGAGAATATGGTGATAGTGATGATGACAGCTTGTGGTATTCCGGCGTTATTTTTGTACACACCATCCTCCATTATCCTGGAGTATCTGACTCTCAGGCTCCATTTTGTGGCCATTACGGCAGAAGAGGAAGATGGTCCTAAAGAGGAATCGTACTTCAAAGGACGGGCAAGGAAGCGGCAGCGGTCGGGTCAGCGACCGTCGTCGGTTCACTGTCAAAGCTGTCATTTCGACTGGCCTTTCAGTTGTACTTAATCTGTTATGGGGAGTCTAATTCTATGATTATATTTGCATATGTATCCGTGTGTGTGTTTACTCTCTTCCCTTTAGCTGCCGGCTTGCTATCCGAGAATGGCTTGGTGATCTCGACTGCCTGCCTAGTGCTCTTTAATGAGATTATCAGGAGAAGAGTGTCAGTAAGTAGGATCTAAAATGAAAGCCATTATGGAGCATTATCACAGAGCTCCACCACCCCGGCCCCCCCCGATCCATCTGCTGTACGGCCACCCACACAGCCACTACACCCAGATTACAGCCGTGATTAGCACCGCAAAGTGCTGCTTAATTTAAACACCTCTGGAGAACATGTGGCACTTTGCTGCATTGCTGATTCGCTGCGCTTGAACACACACACACACACACACACGTGTGTGCGCACGGAGGGCAAAGATGGATTTCTCCTTATACACAACGCATTCTCTCAAGTGCTCGAGTTATTTCGAGGGACGTCGGACCGAAGGCTTGTGTGCAACTCTGAAGTGTTCGTGTCATATTTGATTTCTTACAGGTGTATACATTCAACACACAACTGACTGTTGCGTCTTCACCTACCTTTGATCTCGCAGCGTGCAAGCAGTGATGTAAGCTTTGTAATGTTTGTCTTTCTTAACAGCTACTATTGTTGTCACACTTTCTTGACAACAGCAAATATGAGGAAAGATTAAAGGAGCATATATGAAAACTTGATAGAAAGTGAGAACTGACAGATGTGTGCAGAGGCCGGACTTCTTTCTCACTGACGCGTCCAGTTTAAATTTTCAGAAGAGAAAGCAAAGCCTCTTCAGCTCAGTCAGATTGTAGTGATTCACCTTGTATTTCCCCTTTTCTTTGGCCAAACATCGAGTGTGTTTACATGGACATGAATATGCCCATTATGAAGCTTATCCTAGTTTTTAAAATGCATATTCAGAAACTGACATTTACTTGGTTATGCAGGTATATACCTGCATATGTGCAAAATAAACATACTATCCCAGTTGTTAATACAGGCTGTCGTTTACATGTTAGTGACATTTACATGCAACGAACTTTAGTTTTGATACCTGTGATCACACTTTACAATAACTTCACTGTGATTATTAACCTGACTTGCTCCACTATAGAAATTGGAAAACCTGCATCCTGTAGCCTGACTACGTCAAACTTGAAAAGTGCAGAATTTCAGATACTTTCGGTGTTGCCATTGATTGTGTTTCTATTTACTTGGGATCACTCGGCTGAAGCATCACATGGGTAGTCAGCAGTATGAAGATGCAAAGATAATCATATTCACATGCACTGACAAAAAAAAGGACTATTTAAATAACCAGGATACTTACGTCCATATAAACACACTCATTGAACTGCAAAATGTCCTGATTTTCTCTCTGATTTTTACTTCGACTATATCACATATGTATTTTTATTTTGGTGAAACCCACTTTTAAGACTCACTAGGCACACCTCAAATTATAGTCCAAATTAGCGGGATCTTTTCCTAGTTTCTAAAAAGTTAATATTTGCAAAGTACAGCATCAGTATCCCAGTGCACCACAAAGAAGTCTCAGTTTTGTACCTGTGATCTTATCGCGAACCAACTTGCAGGACTCGATCTCGCCGATGCTACCGAAGAGGCTGCGGAACTCTTCCTGGGTCATGTTCTGGGGCAGGTAGTTGACAATGAGGTTTGTCTTGCTGTCGTCGTTTGTTGGGCCGGTCTGCATTGGTGAGGGGCAGCCACGGCTGTTGTTGGTTGGCCCATTGGCTGTGGTTCCTCCTCCACTGGGGCCATTTGTCACTGGAGCCTCCATGTTACTGATGATCTGGAGAAGGGAGGAAAAAGGGACACACCAGGAAAGGAACCACACAGAGAAAGGGTAGGAAGAGACAAAGAGATGTGGCCATCATTAACAACATTTTCTTATTAAGTAGCTGCAACACTGTATGTGTAGTAAGCCTTACAAGACTCTGATGATTTTCCAAAATGTTATTTTGAAAAATTATATTAAAAGTCTCAATGAAAAGAAGAGAATCAAGCTGTGCACCCTACAGCCTTTGCTGTCTGCAGGATGCACAGCTTGATTCTCTTTGAAACAATGAGACATTTCAACATTAAACAACTGCAATGAAAACTATATTTTACAGTAAATATTAGTTAGTTAATATTCTTCTGTGGAAAAAGTAATTACACTCTTGGCTTTAGAAAATCGTATTAATAGTAGTAACTTTTTTAAAAATATCATTGCCTATAAGACATTCACTAGACTAGCTCAGTAGATAGATGGTGGCCCCGTGACTGGAGGGTCGGGGGTTTAAATCCGCTGAACGGCTATCCTGAGGTACCCCTGAGCAAGGTACTGTCCCTACACACTGCTCCCCGGGCGCCCAATGGCTGCCCACTGCTTCACTGAGTGAATGGGTTTTAAATGCAGAGAGGAATTTCCCCACGGAGATCAATAAAGTATACATTAAAATTCGTGATGGCACTTTCATCAGTTTTTCTCCCTACATGTTCCAGATGTTTGAAATCTCTCCAAAGAATTTCAGAAAGATTCAAATCTGAGTTTTATTCTTAAATCCTCTTTTTTTATAACTTTCATTCTTTTGTAACTTAATTTCTTCTTTTCGATTTGCTGCATTGGATTCTCTATTTCATATTTTTACCATGTTGGAAGGTCTACTTCCAGTTCAATTTCAAATTTCGGACGGATGGTCTCAAATTATCTTAAAGTGATGTGATTCATAGTTGGATCAATACCTGTGAGCACTGTTTAAAGACAAATTTTGTTAGATTTTTCTTTGTGACTAATGTGTTTGTCTTCTTAAAATATGAACACGATTAAAATTTAGGTTTTACATGTCATATGTCCAGGTACTACTTTTTCCCTTTTATTCCTGCCTTTATAACTGATGGTTAGGTGATGAATATATACATTACAGATAAGGGTGAAAAATTTGTCCTATATAATTAATGTTCTTTTCAGACCTAAAAAATGTGACATTAGCCTTGATCAGCGAAAAAAGGCCTGTGTGTGAGCAGTAATGCTGTCAACAAGTAATTAAAATGCATGATCAACATAAGTAAACCCTTGCACAGAGTCACAAACTAAATATGCAGTGAAAACAGTGCACACACTACATTCACCGTATCTAAACACTGAGAAATAAAACAAACGGCAGACACAAAGAGGATAAACAACTTAATATTCACGAAGGCAGTAAAGCCTCTCTGAAACGTTCTCTGATAGCTACTGAGGTTTGTGGGAGGGGGCAGCAACAGGGGCAGCCCTTCAGCTAACGATCTGACTGCTGATGCTGCTGCTGTGACAGAGAGAAGTTTGCATTTTCAAATCTGGCTTTTGCAGAGCATCTCAGGATCAAAGTGTTCAAAGAGGAACTGTGAGCCTGGTGTAAGTGTGAGAAAACAGGGGAAAAAGGGTGAGAAGGAGTAAGAGCCAGAGGGGGAGGTATTGCACTTTGCTTCTCTAACACTAAGAACACATTTATATTTATCAAATGCTTATCCTAGTGAATATTCCAACAAAATGCACAGGGAGCTTATATAAACATTTGCATAAAGATAGTTATTTATCAAATTAATAGCATAAAAAAACTAATTTGAGATGGAGACAATCCTGATGAGTTTCCCTTGGCTCTGTCTCACACGTAAGCACTTCAGCGTTTTACTTTTAGAAACAATAATGATGTTGATGCTGCAAAAAGAGTCACGAAATCTACTGCAAGACTCTTGAAATCATAAAATTGAGCAAAAGCACCGCAAATGACCTAACATGCTGAAACCCAAATTAAGATGCAAATATTCTTTAATCTCATTCAATCAAATTTTTAAAGTCATCACTCAGATCTCTTCTTTCCCCTGCTAAGCTATTCAGCTTCCAGGCTATTTTTAACTATTCTTAAGTACACGCAGACAGCCTGCACTTGGAAGCAGGGCTAGTATTAGCAAAGGAGAGACGACACTCGAGCCGTATTTCGCTCTATTTCTGGATTATCAAAAGGCCGGACCTGTGTTCTAATAATATATCTCAAAGCAGAATTTAAAAATTTCCCAGTTTGTCCAGAAATAGTTTACGATGCGTGTACTTTAATCGCTCTGCTTTTATCTGTCGACGTGTGGTAATAAATGAAATGGCAGATGAAACCGTTAACTGTTGAGTTACCGTACAAACACCATATTATAATTAAGCATGCATAAAATTGGGCTCGTTCGGAGGCTGACTTGGTAAGTAAAGTGAATTCAAAACAGATGACCTAGAAAAGTCAACAGTACATTTTAATGAGGAGTTGAGAACAACTAGAGTACAATGAGCCTGTGGTTTTTATTTGAATCTGTAAAACTGTGAGTATTTCTACCTCCTACCAACTAGACCAATAAAATCTTAAGGGATAGGACACGGCTGCTTGGATGGGTTAAAGCATCCATTTCTTCCCTGACCTTTAATATTCCTTTTATCATTCAGTATCCTTCTTTTCCTCTGTCTAGTGTTTAGTAGCAGCTCCAAAAACACATCAGCCTTAAATCTGCTTCCATCTTCTTATTTTTAACACACACACGCGCCAGCACACGCTTTCATGTATTCGCAGTCTGTGGCATCTGCAGTAAGTGGAAGAGGCACGCACTCAAAGGCACACACAATCACACATACAAAGAGAGAACAATGGCTCAAGCCCACAGCAGAAAACAAACAGACAGGGAGATGTCTAAAAGCTCTCAAGATGAGAGCTGCATGCAAATTGTTCTTTTGACAGTATCCTTCCCTACTCACTCACCACTCTACCACAACACAGATACAGAGACAGACTGAGAAAGACGGGGGGAGAGAGGGAGACTGAAGAGGAAGGAGAGAATAGCATCTAGCCATAACAGAGTTGATTGGAGAGAGCCTTATTAAATCTGTTTACATTCCCTGCTGGGCTCCATTCTGTCAGAGAGACTTTCAACTCCATGGGACGTTTTCTGAGGAGGTTTTTACACCAAAATGGCTGCCTCTAATTAACAGGGACCTGCCGAGTACCAGTAGCCAATTATATCCCTCTCCTTGTCCCTGCCTACCAGCATTTGTGCTGCTCAGCAGTCCACTTCATGTTGGTTGTGAACACTCTGGCTGTCCCTGCTCTCCCACTGTGGAGCCTAGTGCTGAGAACAGACTCGCTGCATGTCCTGCTGACTGGGTACAACACATAGCCAGCACTCATAGGCTCTCAGGCTCGAGATGCGGCTTCTTTTACTCACAAGTTATCCTGCTCCTTGTGTAGGAGGCCGAGCCAGCACCAGCGCTTCTGGCTAAAAGTAATGCATCTAAACTGCGTGCAGCTGTTGAAAGCATATGAAACGGATGTGAGAGCGCGTTAGAAAAGATCTGATATAAGCTGTTGCCATTAGGATGAAAAATATCAATACCCATTCGCTGTATCGAATAGATTGGCTGGACTACACCAGTGACTTGTAGTCATCGTTTAGTTAAAGCAAAGCGCAGGCTGAGGGACGTATCGCTTCTTACTTTTAACGGCTGCTCGAATCCTCGACGCAAGAGAGAAAATCAAATTAAAAGCCGGATATAAGAAGGAGCAAATTGAGTAAGACTTTAGGAAAGCAGATGTCTTTTAGAATTGCCCACATTTGCAGCTTTGCATGTTAATGGAATGGTAAATAACTGTTTTTAAGTACTAAAACGTAAATGGTTCCACATAAACAGAGAAAATATGAGACATCAAAGTGCAACACTCGTTAACAGCTTCCTAAATTATATGCACAGGATGAACGTGTCAGCTTTTCACTCTTCTGTGCATAGCCCCCTCTACCCTCGCAACCCCGTCCATCAATCTCTGCTCAAGTTCCAACTGTCTCAGTCAGCAGCATCACCGACCAGTGTGCATTAATGTGAACACAGTGCAACATCAGATCATATTACTTCATGGGTGTGTAAAATGGCTGGGCCATCCATTTGGCAGCAGTAGTCTCCTTACCATCTTTGGCTGTGTCAGCAATCCCTTCTCTGCCCAGCCCTGGAGCTGTGGGAGCTCTGCCTGACGCCACTGTGTCTCTGTCGACCCCTATGGAGCGGAGCACAGGGAGGGAGGGATGCACAGCCCACCGTCAACATCATACACTCACTTTACAAGGTTAGGGTTGTAGTGGGACTTGGGGAGTGGAGGGGTTGAGGATGTTGAGAAAATGGCAGCTCACTAGAAAAACACAGTTGCACCTTTGCAGTCCCCATCAGCCGTAATAAAACAAAGACAGGTGGCTCAGGGGTTTTCGTATTTGTCTCTCCGTTTATTTTCTCGTTTGTCGTAAAGTAACGAATTCAAATGCTAACACTGGATTTGGTGAGACAGAAATGTGGCCGAATCTATTATTTCTTTCATTTATTAAAACTGACGCGAGCACCTTCGGAGCCGGCAGAATAAAACCGAATGTGTGTTGATGTTGGCAGATTGGTGTGGGGACTGCAATGACCTTGGCAGGGTTTATAATGAGGGTTTCCCTCTTGCTCTCTGTGGGTAAACAAGCCTGTGGTTGAAGAGACAGAAAATGCCACAAATGAGCAGGAAGTCTGTTCGCTGGCTCTCCAGAGCAGGGGGCCTAAATGCCTGCAGCTATCTACAGATGCTACAACAGCCAATTTAGCAGGAGAAGAGGAAGAGAGGAGGTATGACCTCTGCCTTCATTTACTCCTTCAGAGGGATGAAGAGCGGGAGTGAGGGATCAGATGGGAGGAGGTAGAAAAGGCAAGGGCTGAGTAATGGGGAAGACATTTCCAATACTTCAAAGAAAAGGAGAGACAGAGGTGGGGGAGGAGGAAGAGAGTCTGTACATGTTCTGTTGTCAATGTGTCTTGTAAACTTAGGCAGGAATGCATAATGGAGGTCTAAATGAGAGTGAACTGTCAGCTTCAAAAGAGAAAAAGAAGATACAGAGGGGCAGAGAGGTCAGGGTGGAAAGGAGGACAAGAAATATAGCTTCTCCTTGCCGACTGACAGAAGCAAAAAATGCAGATTTTTTGGGATCGTATGGGGGGAAAATCAGTTGAGCCACCTTTTGTTTTAATATGGCGAGGACCAAAGGGTTGCTATTGAATAGTCTGCAAATCTGACTGGTACAAATTAATGACAAACATTTTTTTTTGTGTTTCAGGCTTTTAGTTATGCTAATGTCAGTGTCATGCAGGTGTACCAAAGCCAGTAAGCGTGTATTTAAAATCATTTAAGAGAGTCAAGAGTGGGCAGTTGGAGGGATAGCAACTCCCCACATTAGTCACAACTTAAAACCACCACATACAGTGTCGTGGACCAGCATTCATCTCATTAGGAGGGCAGAGGGCAACATACTCTACAGTCAATTTAAAACAAATGTCCCAATAAATGTAAAGTTAAGTGGCTACCCTGAAAAAAGGAAACGTTAGGCAGAGGTGAAACATCCAAATCTTTTTCACCCATTCTGCAAAGCTTTTTATTTACATTGCCGTGTGCCGCAGCAAGCAGACAATGCAGCGTTATCATAGCATGTACAAATGTGGTGATAAAAATGTAAGAAGCAGCAAGCAGATGTACATGAGTCAATTTAAACAGCTAACGCATAGTGGAAGGGTGCATAATGCTGGCAAAAGGAATATTACATTTTCTTAGAAGTGCATCTCATTTCGGAGACACTGCTCAGTGCTCAACCATTCGATAAAACAAAGAAAGTCTCTCTCACTCACACACACACACTTTCATCTTTCTTCGTAGTCTCACTGTCCTTGCGTTTATCACATGAACACACGTGTGCGTCTTCTGATAAAATCTCAAATAACACTGGAATAACAGCGCAATGCAATTACATTCACCAACCATTGAGATGAAAAACTGCTCATGGATACATTTTCAATTATTCAGGGAATACATTTCAGTCTGTGCTCAGATGCTGGGAAAGGTTATTATATAATCAATACACTCTATAACGCCATTAATATTTTATGCCACAAAAGTGCTTCCTGTCTCCTTGGGCTCCCAACCAGTGGTATCTGGGCACTGCATTTGAATAGGACGAGCCTTTTCCACCTCTAGCAGGGAAGACGTGTATACATTTGCTTTCCTCTAACACTGGGAAATACACTAGGCCCACACGCAGCTTCCATCCGTTTTAGTCTACCTTTTCCTCCATATTATGCACAAGACAAGCTCACATTTCTTTTCTCCACGTGCCTAAGACACCGGTGGTACAGTTTTACCAGAATTTAGATGACAAAGTCGTTTTAACTTCCGTTTCACGTTTATCCCTCCTGTTCCGCTTTTAGCCAATAAAGCTACCACTTTATTTTTCTGGCCTGGTGCAGCCCCCCCCCCTTCTCTTACAGAGCTTAGACAATCAATTTACCCTGACTTGGCCAGGATAGATGGAGGCTGTAGAGACTGTGGAGCAGACAGTATGCTGCAGGATCTCTCCACTGATAGACACACTGCCTGGCAGCTACAAAATGGAGCCAGCATGCAACCATCTGACTTTGCCTCATCATCTTGCTTTATATAATTTGCCATTTCCTTATGCCTTTTCCAACTTGTTTTATTCTTTAAAATTCTGACCAGTTTTTAAAATGAGAAACGAATGGATCAGGTCAAATTCTGGATTTGCTGTCAGCTACAGACACACTGCTAATTACGTGCCCGCCTCTTGCCACCACAAAGCAAACTTCAATTCTCTCTCAGTCTGACAAACTGAAACGGAATTGGAGTTCTTACCAAACTGACTTAGACACAAAGAGATTAATACGACTTTACTATCTCAGTTTCTCGGCCAGTCGAGTTCCGTGTAATGCTCTCTGCGCTATTGATTTTTATTTTTCTCTCCTCTCCTTTTCTTCCTGGAGATCTCTCTCTCCATCTCTCCACCTCCACCATCCTCTTCCGAGCTCTGAAATGTCCTGCAGGTCAGACGGATGCTGGGCCGGATCAATCAGGGAAAGTAATCTGGGACGCCTCATGCACGCAAGCACACACACAGACACATCACAGATACTCACCAACCCACACACACACACCCTTCCTCTGTTGCACTCTGGCCTGCCTGCCTCCAGTCTCATTGATCTGCATCTACTTTACCAAATGGATTCTTCTCTTCTTCTATCCTCCTCCACCTCTGTTCTCTCTGTGTGACTCAGAATAATAAATGTTCCAGACCGCGCGAGACGTGTACGTAAGCAATTTTTCATTTAACTTTGGCTTGACTTTTTTTTCCCTCTCGCTTCTTTTTTGTGATGTTTCAGTCTTCCAGTGAGATCGATGCAGCTTTCCCACACACTTCCTCGCAGCCCCTGGGTAATCAGCACATACTTGTGTAAGGTCAGAGGTCAGGAGATGATAGGATAGGGCCAATTGCTGTGGGTTATCTCAAGATCTCAAGATTTCACAAACAATTATAGGACGACCCAGTGTTCTTATTTTCAGATGATGAAGCTCTGATGTATTCCTCAGTATCACTTGTTTCTGAGAGTCTGGCTGAACGTAAATACTGACACACTTTGCATTTGAATGTATATGAAGGAGTCATATAACTTTCTCCACTCTATTCAGATTTATCTGGTCCAATCACTTATATGTAATTTTTAAATGCATATTTTCCATACAGAGAGCATCCTTTAAGCACAGAGACTCTGAGGACCTGCATTGCTCTATACATACGTACAGTCGTTCTCATTCACACACACAGACACACACGCCAAAGTCTCCTTTGCTCAACCAAACTGTAGGCGGAACTGAAGCCATTTGTCCACTGGCTGAATCCCAACTCTGCACCAACGCATGCAGAAAATTGGTGAGCATCTTGACTCTGGAGATGACACTTCAATTTGTTGAGCTCCAGTGACTGGTGCTCTGCAGTTCATCCCTTGTGGGTGCATGAGATCAGCTGGACACCTGCCTAGCTGTTTGGCTGAAGCCTGGAGCACAGGGGACCGGGCCTTGGAATTGAAGGCCTGGCCTTGCCTGTCAGTCCAAGTCCCTGTCCCTTAGCCCCAGCCCTGGCCTCGCCTCTCAGGTCCTCATCACAGTTCCTCTAGTTTCACACCCGTGCCAGGGCTAGTCCCTTGCCCGATGCCTTTGACCCGTATTTCTCAGCCCTGAGCTGCAAGTCACTGCAGTGCCATCTTCCCAACAGCGGTCTTCCCCTGAAGGGCATCAAATCCCATGAACAGCTTCCCAGCCTTTGTTCCACTTCTAGCTAGTGTGGCCAGCACCTCAGCTTCCAGCTCAGTCAAATCAGCAAGATGTCTCTGCTGTGCATCACTGTCTGTCCTGCTGTAATCCCTGTGACTGATGGGAGTGATCATTGTCGAGGCCCTAAGCTAGAACATTTTGGTGGATTAAAGAGGCTAAATCATGGTCTCAGCTGCTACATTTCCATTTCCATCCTTAATTAAATGTAAATGTGGTTAAAGGTTTTAGTGGAGATGGTATCTATCTAACATGTGGGGTTTATTCACAAAGTAATTACCTCGTTTCCATGGATGGTGGAGAATAGGTTTGTGTTTGTGATCCCTGATATAGCTGTGATTTAACATGACACAAAATGTGTCCATCCATTTTTAGAATACGAAAATCCTGTTTGCAATGGCTCGGTTAACATTTGGTTACTTTTACAGACTGCGGCTCTTGTGACACTGCAACAGAACCTACAGTAGCGCCATGACAAAGACTTGCACTACTCTGAGTTGCATTTCAGGGAAAAGCTTATGTTTCTGTACAACACTCATTTCCGTGTTGAGCTGAAGCTGCTTTTCGCCGGGTGGGGACGGGGACAGAGGACGCAAAAACCGACAACGAGGCAGGCAGAGCAGGCGGGCTCATCTGACTGAATCAGCACCATGTGTCATGAGCGAGGACACCACCTCCACAAGTAGCTGGCAGGTGAACGCGGCCACGCACCTGTGCAGGCAACCAGCCATTTTAGTGAGATTGCCTCCTATCTTTAGCAAAACACACTAAGGAAAACTAGTGCATACATAAACAAACATATGGCATCATGCACAAATACACAAGATTCACTCAACCTCTCAAACATTCTCCCTGTTTCTGTG